TGTTTCTCAGAGTCCATAGTCTCTCATGGTTCGTGTCCCCCTCCGATTTCTCCCTCTTCATTTTTCCCTTCCTACTATCTTTTTTTTTTTTTTAACATATAATGTATTTGTTTCAGAGGCTTTTCCATTTGTAGAATTGCAGCAATTCTTAGATTTCTGATTGAGTTAGCAGGTGTTCAGAATGATTTGATAGCTATCTAGCTGAATTCCATGGACCAGACGAAACTAGGGTCCCCTACTTCTCTGCCATCTTCCTCGAAAAACTGCCATTATTTCTTCAAATAAGTTTTCTCTCCCCTTTTCTCTCACTTCTCCTTCTGGGACTCCTGTAGTGTGAATGTTAGTGTTCTTGATGTTGTCCCAGAGGTCCCTTTAAGCTATCTTCATTTTTAAAAAATTCTTTGTTCTTTGTGCTGCTCCGTTTAGGTGAGTTCTGCTGCTCTGTCTTCAGGTTCACAGATCTTTTGTTTCATTTAGTCTACTGTTGAATCCTTCTGTTGTTGGGGTTTTTGTTTTGTATTTTGTTTGTTTTTCAGTTCAGTTATTGTGTTCTTCAGTTCTCCGAACTCTGTGTGGAACTCATATTTTCCGTCTCTGTTGAAGTTCTCATGTAGTTCATTCATTCTTGTCCCGAATGAGATGAGCATCTTTATGACTGTTACTTTGCACTCTTCATCAGGTAAATTATTTAACTCAGTTTCTTTTAAGTTTTTTCCCAAGGGTTTATCTGTTCTTTTGTTTAGAACATATTCATATGTTTGCTCATTGTGCTTGTCTCTCCTGTGGGTTTCTACGCATAAGATGAAACAAACACTTCTCCCAGTCTTGAAGGGTTGGTTTTGTGTAGGACGTTAAGTAGGTGATAAAACTTACCATTCAGCCCTGTTAAGCTCTTGTTTGTCTTTTATTTTTTTATTTTTTAAAAAATATTTTATTTATTTGACAGAGAGAGAGAGATAGAGCAGGAACACAAGCAGGGGGAGTGGGAGAGGGAGAAGCAGGCTTCCTGCCGAGCAGGGAGCCCAATGTGGGGCTTGATCCCAGGACCCGGGGATCATCACCTGAGCCGAAGGCAGACACTTAACGACTGAGCCACCCAGGCGCCCTCTTGATTGTCTTTAAATCTTTGTGATTTTCCAGGCAGCCTCTTTTACTTTTATTTATTTATTTATTTTTTAAGATTTTATTTATTTATTTGACACAGAGCCAGCGAGCAAAGTAGGCAGAGAAGCAGGCTCCCCACTAAGCAGAGAGCCTGACACAGGGCTTGATCCCAGGACCCTGAGATCATGACCTGAGCCGAAAGCAAATGCTTAACCGACGGAGTCACCCAGGCACCCCAGCCTATTTTAGTTTTAATAGCTCCCAGTAGTTTAGGGTGTGCCAAGACCAGTCAGTTTCACAAAGGGGAGGATCTCAGTCAGCAGTTGCATTCAGACTGTTTGGAAGCCAAACCCTTGCAGCTTTTAAAGAATACAGATACATACAGTCCCAGGGTGCCTGGGTGGCTCAGTCAGTTAAGATTCTGACTTCAGCTCAAGTCATGATGTCAGAGTCCTGGGGTTGAGCCCCACATCAGGCTCCGGCACTCGGTGAGGAGTCTGGTTGTCTCTCTGCCCCTCCTCCCACTCGTGCACGCACATGCTCACGCTCTCTCTCAAGTAAATAAAATCTTTAAAAAAAGAGTGCAAATACATACAGTCCTGTTGGACTGCAAGTAGAAGCCCCACTGCCCTCAGAGCCAGGCAATTTTAAGGTGTCCTTTGGGCAGCAGTGACAAAATTGGGGCTATAGACAAGTATAGAAGGACTTTTCTGGGAGATTCTGGTGAGCTGTAGCAAGGAGGCGGAGAGAGTGCAATGATGGCACCCTCCAGCCGATATTCTCTGAGACTACTTTTGTAGCCTCTAGATCCTGCCAAAGGGGAAGCCTGTGCCAAGGCTGAAGTTCTAGGACTAGCAAGTAGGACTTTTCCTTAGTTTCAGTTTGCTGTCTGTTTAGGGCTCTGGGGTGGCAGCATGCCATTGTTACAGTCCTGTGGGACCCGGGAACGCAACCCCCCTAGCCACTAGAGCCGGGCAATCATGGGAAAGCCCTTGGGCGGGAGTCACAAAAACCAGGGCAGCAGACGTAAAAACTGGGCACCAGACATGTATAAGAGCTCCCCTGGAGAGATGCTGGTGTTCTGGAGTGTGGCAGAGGGAGAGTGTGGAGGTAGTGTGCACCTTCCAAGGTCTCAGGAAAGGTTTACAAGTCAGCCTGATTAGAAGCCAACCCATCAGGCTACAGAAATGATAAGCTAAGAGGCCTCTTTCATAAAAGATTGAGCCCTTGGGCCTGTTGCCTCTTGCTGTTCCTTGGGGCTGGTCGCTGTTTAAGAATGCTTTCTTCATTGGTTAGAGTCCTGTAATCTGTGACTTTAAGCTCAGCCGGCTGCCGGCGCCAGGCCACACAGAGGTGTGCCCCAGCAGCAGCTGCAAAAATCAGGGCTCACCAGAAAAGGATATAATCTTCTTTCTGGAAGATACTGGTGAATTGGAGTGAGGCTGAGGGAAAGTGCAAAGAATTCTTCCACCACCTTCTATTCCCTGAGAACAACTCCGTAGGCCCCTGTAAGTGTGCCAAACCAGAAGCCTGTCGCTCAGGCCAAAGCCCATGGACAAGCAAATAGGCCTCTTTCTCAAAAAAAACTGGGGGTGTGTTTTTGTCTGTTATCTGTTCAGTGCCCTGGGGGTGGTCGTCGGCCAAGAACATAATCTCCAGTTGTTACTGTCCTGTGGGACCCAACAGCACAAGCCCTCCTAGCCTCCGGAGCCAGTCACTCAAGGAGCATCCTCTGGGTAGCAGTTGTAGAAACCAGGTCACCAAAGGTAAAAACGGGGGCACCAAATGTGTGCAGAAGCTCCCCTCTGGGACATACTGGTGTTGTGGAGTATGTAGAGGGATAATGTAAAGATGGTACCCACTGAAGAAAGAAAGAAAAAAAAAAGGTGAGGGGAGAAAAGGAGAAAAAGAAAAGGAAAAAAAAGAGACGGCATCTGTCTGCTTTAGCAAGGCAGCGAGAGCAGGAAGATGGTACCTACACCCTCCATCCCTGGAGAGGACCCCAGCAGACCCCAACAGACCGCTGCCCCTCAGAGAATCCTCTACAGTTAGAAAGTGAGTCTTTTTCACGTAAAGTCTGAGCACCTTTCAGAGGGCTGCTTCTGGGCTGGGCCCTGAGTGGTGAGTCTGTGCGCAGGTCCTTTTAGAGTTGTTCCTCAGTTTACCACAGCCCTGTAGGTCTTGTGGATGCCATCCCCCGTTGGTCTTCAAATCTAGATGTTTTGGGGGCTCCTCTCAGGTGCTGGTCTTTTTTTTTTTTAAAGATTTATTATTTGAGAGAGGAGAGCGTGCATGCTCATGAGTGCATGAGCGGGCGGTTGGGGGGGCAGAGGGAGAAGGAGAGAAACAGACACCCCGCTGAGCAGGGTCCCAGTGCAGGGCTGGATCTCATGACCCTGAGATCATGACCTGAGCTGAAATCAAGAGTTGGCCACTTGGCTGACTGAGGCACCCAGGCGCGCCACTCTCAGGTGCTGGTCTTAAGAGTTGGGTGCTCAGTGTGGGGTGCAAACCCTTCACCCTCTCCTGATTGTGGGTTATATGGCAAGACTGTGTCTCAGCCTTTCCTGCCCTCTGCAGTGTTGTTTCCCTCTTTTGCCCAAGGTGAAGAGGTCGCTCTGCCGGTTTTTAAGTTTTTTTTTTTCCCCTATCCCCCAACCCAGTTTTTAAGTTTTTTTTTTCAGAGGAAATTGTTCCATATGTAGCTATAGATAGGTTTATCTGTGGGAGGAGGTGTGTTCAGGATCTTCCTACATTTCCATATTTTTGAAACCTCATTTATTTTAACTCTTAATTTTATGTATTTGTTTACTTTCAATTTATTTGAGTATAGTTGGACACACGATGTCACATTAGTTTCAGGTGTACAACATAGTGATTCAGCTTCTCTATATGTTATGCTCATTGCAACTGTAGCTACCATCTGGCACCACTTAACACTATTAAAATATGGACCATATTCCTGTGCTGTCCAAAACTGGAAGCCTGTATCTCCCACTTTTCCTTCACCCATTTTGCCCATCCCCTCCCCACTGCCCCCACACTGCCATCTTGAACTAGAACCTCAGTTGTCTGAATTTTCTAACCTACAAACGGGGATAATACCTAGTACCTGAGATTGTGATAAAGTGTTTGCTGCTCTTCCTGGTATTTAGGAAGTGCTTAATAAAAATAGTTCATTTTTTTAATGTTCTACAATTATTATATACCATCTAGTTTCTTTTTAAAGGTCATGTGTTCAAACCAGGAAGTTATATTTTTGTTAAAGTATGTTTAGGGTCTTCCCTTTCCCCCAGATGTACTTATTCTCTGAAATTGGATTTTTTTCCCCCCAAGGGAGGAGAAAAGAGAGACAGCAGAAACTCCTTGTGGATTTCAGATGTTTTCTGCTGTTCTTGTGCACTGTTAAACATTCTCTATGCAACATCATTTCAGTTCTTAATGGTGCTGCTCCTCTGTTGAAGCTCAATTTAATCTAGTCTTGGCTTGATTTTTTCCTTTACCACCGATGGCAAACGTAAATGGTTGCAGTTAAGTTTGCAGACACATGTACCGTCCAAGTGTTGTTGCTTGTGGTTATGTTGCGTTAGTGATGCCTCATTCCTAGAATGGACACTGGCACGAGAGCCAGGCAATATAGAGGCAAATCCTAGCTTGACTTTCTTATCTGTCCTTATCCCGTGACATGGAAAGGCTGTTTTAGGGCTTGAGATATAATGGTGACTGAGTCTGCTCAAAAAGTCATTTGAGAAGAGAAAAAAAGTTATTTGGAAGTCAGCACATGTGTACATTTCTGTAACTTCCTAGCTGTGGTGTTCTTTAGTTGAAGTCTTAGAAGATAGCTTGTGTGTGCTGAAATGGCTGCTTTTCAGACTTGCTGTATTTTTTATTCCTAGGGATTCATCTACGCTCTTACCAACTGGAGGGAGTCAACTGGCTCGCCGAGTGCTTCCATGGTCAGAATGGCTGCATCCTGGGAGATGAGATGGGCCTGGGTAAGACCTGCCAGGTATGTTACTGTGGAGGGACCGCTGTTCACCTCTGCTGAAATACCTCCTCACAGCCCCTCACTATCTGCAGCTGCTCGCTACTAGTGTGGGTTTTTATACTAGGAGGTGAAATGCCTAAACCTTTGTGAAGAGATTATGACCTTGCAATTTATTTTCCTAGTTATGGGGATGGTTTTGAACTGTGTCACTTGACATAGGATTGCAATTAATGGGCAGGGTTTTTCTCTCTGTAAATATATGTCTCCCCCCGCCCCGCCCTCCCCCGCCCCCCCGGGATCAAATGGACTCTGCCCTCCTTAGCGATACTTCTGTTTAGTTAACTGGATCTATTTATCTCTCTTCCTAGTGGGTGGTAGGGCTACTTCTTATTTCTGTGCCATGCTAGAGAAGTGCAGAGGAAGAATCCTGTCTTCCAGAATGCCTTGGTCATCTAGTGGGAGCACCCAGTCTAGAGACCTGAGAATCAAATGTGGCCTCCTTGGGCATTGAGCTGGATTATTCTGGCAGGAGGATCACCAACACAGCCCTGTGTTGTCAAATGTCAGTGGTAGGCTTGGATCGATTGAAAGTCCGGACACAGACACCCCTTGGGTTAGTCACACAAGGTTTATTCATCTATAAGGTACTAAAGAAAGTCAGTGCAGTCAGGATATACAGCAGAGGCCACTTGATCAGAAACCATGGACATATAAGTTTCCCCATACCAAAAAGGTTTTTACCAGTGAACAGACAGAATGAGTGAAGGTCTCATTGATCCCTTTAGAGGCTCGACTGCCCCCTGCAATCCTGACCTGACATACATAAACATCCAGTTGGGGCAGTTCTGCACATAGTTCTACACGTTCTGTCTGACCACGTGTTGGAGACTACTTTATATAAGTCACGCATACCTCATTGATCTGGGGGTTATTCAGAATACAAAATGACCTCTGAGTATGGTACCCTCAAGGACCTCATTTGTCACCTTCAGGTTTCTCAGGCAAATAAATCGGGTTCTCATTTCATTCCTGAACTGAGGACTATGGGAATGAACTGAGAACTAAGGAACTAGAACAAAGGTAAGTTTTCTGGATCTCTCTGGGAGCCAGGCTAAGAGATAACTTGGATCATGTATGGAGCCCTCCCTGCAGTCTCCTTTGCTTTGCACGTTGGAATCCCCCTGACTTCATTCAGAGCCAGCAAATTCCACTTGTCCTTAGTCTTTCTCCAGAGTGTTCATATAGCTCTACCTTCACTGTCCTAAAACTGTTATACCTCCAAATTCCATGTTGCTAAACTTTTGTTTAGAATTTTTGCATCTGTGTTCATGAAAGATACTTATCTGTAGTTTTCTTTCCTTATAATGTCTTTGGTTTTGGTTTTGTGGTAAAGATGGACTCATAGAATGAATTGAGAAGTTTTTGTCCCCTTTGGTTTTCTAAAAGAGTTTGTGTAAAATTGGCATTGTTTCTTCTGTAAATGTTTGATAGAATTCACTAGTAAATCCAAATCAATTTTGTAGATACATGTGGTTTACTGTAGCAAAAGATAAATTTTTCTCTCAATAGTATCCTCAGCAAAAGCTAAATAGAATGATTTTGTTCCAGTATGTACTTATTGGGTGATTGCTCTGGTACAATCTGGGCTGGGAAGTGATGGATAGTTAAAAAAGGAAATTATTTTTTTAAAGGAAATTATTTCCACTATAAAATTAATGTAATCTCAGTTAAAAAATAACTGCCACCCTATAGCCACAACACTCTAACCATAAGCAATGAATAGCAGTGTGTTTTAAATGGTTGACATTATAGCGCACATGTATTTTGTATTTTATTGATCTGACTTTGTTATTGTAATTATCCATTTTATTATATCCTTCACAGTCATCTTCTGCTGGCTACATAATATTCCATCAAGAGAATTCATCATAACGTAAATATTCTGCAGATGAGGAATGGCCAGGTGTCCCCTCTTTTTGTGCTGTATTTACCTCCATGTGAACATCCTTGGGCATATAGCTTTTTCAGGATTTTGGATTGTATCTTTAGGATAGATTTTCTCAGAATGGTTCAGCATTTGGGGATGGGGGCTCCTAAAACATTTTGTTTTATGAAAGAGTGCGATTTTCTCTATCACAGAAATCTTTTAAAGAAACTTTTCTAGTCAAAAGTACGTACAGCCATGTCCTAAAATATGCCTGTTTGGCTTTACAAAGATTTTTGTTTTATACGCTTATGAGGTGTTATTTATTGTTTGTTTTCTTCACTGGAATGTATGCTCCAGGAGAGCTAGGAGTTTTGTCTGTTTTGTTCACTATGATATACTTGTTCTTAGAACAGTGCTTAGCAAAATAGAAGGCACTCTATAAATGCAGGCAGAAGGAAGGAAAACACTAAGGAAATGAGGGAGGAAATTAGGAAGGAAAACATCCTCCCTCCGGAGAGTGTGGCAAGCAGCAGAGACCACCACGTAGTAGGTCATGTGTAGTCACATCTTGGATGTTCTTGCCTTATGTTTTCAGAGTTTTCTTGATCTTGTGCATTATTTGTACTGTTTTCATTTATTTCTGTTATTTTTCCTGATTTTTTCCCTTTGCATCACAGGGTTCAATACATAAATACTGAGCACCAGTGCTTATTAACTATTGATGTAATTGAGTACCATAAATTTCTTTTGGCAATTATATTTAGGCTTACATGATTTCACTTTAGGAATGGATGACTCTCCAGATGTGTGGAAGATTGTACGTTATTTTTTTGTTTGTGCTTCCTCCAAGGTCATGGCAACTTTGTGGTTGTTTGTCATGTGGAAATGTGATAAAAACTGCCTTCTTTTTGTGTGTTCCAGACTATTGCTCTCTTCATTTACTTGGCAGGAAGATTAAATGATGAAGGACCATTTCTGATTCTTTGCCCCTTGTCCGTTTTGAGCAACTGGAGAGAAGAGATGGAGAGGTATAGAGCAGATGTAGCTGCAATTTTGTTTTTTACATTGATTAAGACTTTTTTTCTGGGTGGTATGTGAAATATGGTAAAGCAACATATTGTCCCGGTCATTGATTTTATTTCTTCCAGACAACTCTGACCTGAGGCGATGTAGGTAGGAGAAAGAATCTGATGGGGGTAAGGTTCAATGGATGTTATTGTTACTATTTGGCAGTTTGAAGATCAGTACTCAGTAAATTTTGCTGAGCTAAAGGAGAAACCATCATTTTCACAGTGACATGGGAAGTAACTAAAATGGAAAAAATAGTTTTCTCTTTAGAATTAGTACAGTGCCCTTGTAGATATTCATTCAGCCCTTCTGCCTTTTCACACAGGAACTTGTTTATAGTTTTACCTTTACTCTAGATAAGATTCCAGAGGCCCAGGACTCTTTCTGGTTGCAGGACATCATGAAGTCTTCATGTCCTTGATCTTCCATGAAATGTAATTTTCCAGATATGTACACCCTTCCCTTTAGCTCTGCATTGGTGTTCATCTACCTCTTTTCTTGGATTCAGATTTGCTCCAGGTCTTTCCTGTATAACGTATGCAGGTGACAAGGAGGAGAGAGCCCATCTACAGCAAGATCTAAAACAAGAGTCACATTTTCATGTGCTGCTAACTACCTATGAGGTATCCATTTATTTCTCTTAACCTGGGACTGTAGAAGTTGTAGAATCCACTGGAATTAAATTTAACTTTTTTTGAGAGCATACATTTTTCTGGGAGAAAAGTCTACTTCCATTAGATTCTCAGAGAGGGACCATGACCAAAGGAAGTGAAGGACCACTGTGTTCCAAATTAGTTGGCTATCTCTCCCTCTTTCCTGGTGCATCAAGGGTGAAGGTTCCCCGGGGAGGTGGCACTTGGCCGATGAATAGGAGGAGGCAGGCAGGTAGGAGAAAGGGTTTTGTGGGCTGAAGCATTGTCTATTACTGCAGGATGGGAGTGGAGGACACCAAGTTCCAGTTTCTTTTTTTTAATTATTTAAAAAAAATTTTTTTATTATGTTATGTTAGTCACCATACAGTACATCATTAGTTTTTGATGTAGTGTTCCATGATTCATTGTTTGCGTATAACATCCAGACGTGCCCTCCTAATACCCATGCAATACGTGCCCTCCTTAATACCCATCACCATGCTTGGTGGAGAGGTGGGGGGGGCAGGTCCAGTTTCATTTTAAGTTCCTATTCTTTAAGTGAAGACTCAGTCACTGTAAGCAAGACCTTCCACTTACTCGTGCCTACGTTTTTTCTTTGGGATAGTGCTACTTAAAAATTATGCTCAGAACTTTTTTTACTTAGTGAATGAATGAGACTTAACTCTCTTAAACTACAGGATTTAGCTAATAAGAAAGTAGTTTATAATATCAGTTATGTTAATACTAGTTATAATGTGTCTTTTTTCTTTTCAGATTTGCTTGAAAGATTCATCATTTCTAAAATCGTGAGTCTGTTGCCCTGCTTTAGAAGCAGTTGAATATGTCATGAGAGTCATGTCTTTACATTTTAGTACTTTGTCTCTTTCATCATATGTCTGGTACATCTTCCTGGTATGTTTTCCATGAGTTATTTACAGACAGGTCGCATAGCGGGAGGCCTGCACTATAGCCCGTTGCTCATTAGCTGTGTGTCCTTGGGTTACTTAACCTTAGTGAACCTCAGCTGTGAAATGAGGATAATTAAATCTCGCTTTGGATGGCTGTTGTGAAGATTAAATAAGGTGTACATGGTGGGTGGTTAATAAATATTAGATTCTTTTCATTGAAAATTGCACAGATATCTTTCAGGACTGCTATTTGGAGATTCTACAATAATATGGGAGGTGAATTATTCAAGCCTTTTCCTAGAAATATCCTAAAGTAGCAGTCAGTGCTATAAAATTCACTTTTTAGGAAGGGAGTTTTAAATATACTTTTAAGTAGTTAGCTTTCAGGCTTTCATATCAGCTCATGAAGTATAGGAAACTTAAGTGTAATTCTTCATACTGCCTGATACTAGGGGTGATACAGTATAGGGTTAAGACTACGTTTATAATGTAAATTAAACATTAGCCAGGCTTTAGGTACATAAGAAAAGATGTGTTGACAGGATTTCATTCTCCATAGAATACATAGTTATGATGTGGTTAGGTGGGCATCTTTAATATTCAGAAACTTGTTTTCATAGTGCTTTATCAGTATTTTACATGTTATTTCTCATCCAGGTTCTTCTGAGTTGGATTTCTATTTTCATCTTATTTTGAGATAGTAAAGGCCCAGACATAAATTTCACGACTTCCATCCCATATTTTGGTTCACTTAGTTTCATTTAAGTGAGCACGTTATCTTATTCTTAAGAAAATATGCTTTCCCTCTATCTTTTATTAGTAGTATCCAACTAATACTTGTTGAAGATCTTTTCTTTGGAAAAACACTGTTTGGGAGTTACCAGCAGTGCCAGGAAAGTAAACTCTAGAGCTCCCTAAGAGGACGTAGACTCCAGTAGAGGGAGAGGCAGTATCTGGATATCCGTAATACAAGGCAGGATGTGGGAAGTCTCAAAAGGCTAGAAGATTGGGACATAAATGTTTTTGGGTACTTAAATTATCCTACATAATCTTCATGAAAACCCTAGTAGGTATTATTTATTCATATTATAGAGGAGGAAAGTAAGAGATTAGGTAACCCAGCCAAGGCTACATTGCTAATAATGGCGAAGCAGATATCCAAATGCAGCACGCAGTGCTGTGGAGACTTTAAGAGAGCTTCTCAATAAACAAACAAACAAACATACATCTGATACTGATTCCAGAAAAAACAAAACAAAACAAACCCCAGGGATAGCTTCTCAGATTATCGAAGTGCACTGGAGTTTCACATTATTCATCAGAAATACAATCTTTTTATATTAAATCATCCATCTTCAATCCATCCCATGTGAATTTAAGAACCTAAGTAATAAGGGGGCATTTATAATATTGGCTAACAGTATGAACCCCAGGGGCACAGATTTATTTTTTTGGTAGATTTGACAAGTTTATTTTGTGTATTACTAGATCACACACTGAGAAGAGCCAGAAAGTGTAATGTAATATCTGTCCTCAGGAGGTTTTGTGGGGAATTAAGATGGTGTATGTGCCAATATGAAAAATATGAAAAACTTTTTTTTGATAATAGACCTATGAAATCTTCGGGTCAAGAGGGTTAGAAGTTCCCTCATCCCACTCTCCATTCAATGCTGAAATTCACTCCACCTCTTCCCCTCCAGGGGGCATCCTTTGATGTATTTTGGTATTCTTTAATGAGTGATTTGACCTCCTTCCTTTCACTGAGCCCACATCCATCTCCCTGTAGGCTGCTTCACTGATAAGCTTTTACCGCGTGCTTGCTCTTTGTAAGACTTTCATACCCAGTTCTTCACAAGGAAATAGGACCTGAATTGTTTTGAATGCTGATTCGAACAGGCCAGGTGCTATTTTATGGCCACTTAGCCACCTTATCTCATGACCACTGTCCAACACCAGTTGGACACTTACTCCTTGTAATCCTTAAATGCATCTCCTTCAAATGCTACCAGCAGGAATGATCCCAGTTCCTACTCTCTTTGGACCCCCAGTTCTCCCTCCATCTGCATCGCTCTCAATAGGTAGATGGTACTAGGTTTCTGCACCAGTTTTCTGGATTTTCTCTGTAGCCTCAGAGGAAGAGGGCATCTTCCTTGTAAGGCCAACATCTGCTCAAGATCTTTCTCTAATTTTTGAGTGATTTTTATTTCCCTACCCACTATCTTTCCAGTGTTCTGTCTTCCTTGTCTATACATTTAGTTTTTTAAGTATAAGAACAATGCAATAAGCACCTAGGTGGTTCAGTTGGTTAAGTGTCTGCCTTCGGCTCAGCATGATCTCAGGGTCCTGGGATCGAGCCCCACATCAGGCTCTCTGCTCAGTGGGGAGTCTGCTTCTCCCACTTTCTCCCTTCCCTTGTGTGCTCTCTCTCTCTCTCAAATAAATCTTAAGAAAAAAAAAGAACAATATAATGAGATTACAGAATGCTTGCAAACAAAATAAAAATTGAAGGGCTCCTGGGTGGCTCAGTCGTTAAGCATCTGCCTTTGGCTCAAGTCATGATCCCAGCATCCTGGGATCGAGCCCCGCATTGGGCTCCCTGCTCGGCGGGAAGCCTGCTTCTCCCTCTCCCACTCCGCCTCTTGTGTTCCTGCTCTCGCTATCTCTCTTTCTCTGTCAAATAAATAAAAAAAAAAAAACTTCAAAATAAAAATTTTAAAAATCTTATAACTTTCACTTTGTTAGCTCTTGCATGGTTTCTCATTTGTGAGATGATACATAATAACTATATATTTTTTGGTTATCATGGGCCTTTTTATTGTAAGATAATCATAGTATTTAAAATGCTGAATAATATTACATCATGTATATTTGGGCTTATTTATTTTCAGCTTTTTGCTATTTTAAATAATGCAGCTTGGAACATACTCATACAGAACATATTTTTTCCATATTTCAAATTTTTTTTTGTACTCTAGCAACAGCCACCAATGACTTACATGGTATATCCAGAGGATGTATCTTCCCGAACATCTATAACATTTGATCTTACTCAGTGCTTTCCCATTTTTAAATCTAAAACACTTTTTAAGCACTGTGACACCGTTTTCTCTTGATTTTTGTTCTGGGTTTAAATCTCAGCTCTACCTCATTCTAGCTTTATGACCGTGACCCAGTCACCTAATCTTTCTGAGCTTTAGTCTCCTTGGTGGTAAAATGAGCAGAATAATGTCTACTCACCATGTTCTCTTGGATTAAATAACAGACACAAAGCCCCAACCAAGCACAGGATCTGGCACATAGTAGGTGGTCATAAATGTTTCCTTTTGCTTTTTGTCTCTAGCTCCTTCCTTTCTGCACAGATCTTTCCCATCTTGGAAAACAAATTCCCTTAAATTTACTACCTTATCCAGATGTTGTCTTATGTACATGGCAGGCTTTCAGATAAGAAGGTAATTTGAGGGGTGCCTGGGTTGCATCCGACTCTTGATTTCGGTTCGGGTCATGATCTCAGGGTTGTGAGATCGAGCTCTGTGTGCGGCTCCATGCTCAGTGGGGAGTCTGCTTGAGATTCTTTCTCTCTGCCCCTACCTCCATTCATGCGTGTGCGCTCTCTCAAATAAATAAATCTTAAGAAAAAAAGGCAGTTTGAGTGTGTTTCTAATAGAATGGGCTTAATATTAGTCTTTCCAACATGAGTGCCAGTTGTATGGTAAGACTTTTTGGCTATGAGATACATGCTTGGGTTACACAAAACTGAAAGCTTGGATTTTTTTTCTCACAGCTTCCCTTGGAGTGTTCTTGTTGTGGACGAAGCTCACAGGTTGAAAAACCAAAGCTCCTTGCTGCATAAGACACTTTTAGAGGTAAACTCACAAGATAGTCTTAGTTTTTGTACAAGTTCCTTTAAAAAAATACTATCTTGGTCCTGTATGGAGTTAGTTAAGTTGAAACATTTTTTTTAGTCAGATTTCTATAGGGCTAAATAAACATTTTGTGAGTGACAGAGGTAGTACTTAATATGGCCTAACTTCTTCCTCTCGTCTTTGACGTAGAAGATACCATTTACTGAAATCTGGGTATCAAATAATAAGACACTACCTCAATAAAATACATTGTATTTTTGGAAATGTTTCAACTCTCTTTTGATCTTCAGAGGGGTAATTCTTTAAAAATAATCTTATTATAACTCTTTTGTCTGCAATAGCAGTTACATCTGACATATTTTACCCTTCCCCCCCATTTACCTTTTTTAAGGATCTGATAGTTCCCATGGAGTAATGAAGCGACCCCGTTGCATGCCATTGACTATTAGCTGTAGTCTCTCTTGTCTTTGTCATACTTTTGAGTGTGATACCCTTGATCTCATTCCCTTCTCTTGATCTCTGGCACCATTGTGGCACAGTGAGAAATGAGAAATGTCAGTGTAGCCCTAGATTTGCCCTCTTTTCTGAGGAGCCAGCGGAACAGCTTGTGAGTAAGAAGTGCCCTTCTCCTTGCTGACCTTACAAATAAAACCACATATGCGAATTCCTGTGGCCATCATTGAAGTTTGGTCCCTGTCCTATAAGATCATGTCCTATAACAAATGAGTTAATAAATTTAGAGGTGATTTGCAGGAAAGTCTTAGGTCTGAATTCTCTATTTACTGGCTAAAAGTTGTAGTTTTTAGCATTTTAATGCAGACGTGGTCACTGTCTGTTATTAGTCCAGTCTCAAAGGTTGGCTCTACCCTGGAGGGCCCCCTCTGCTCTATGATGTCTTTTGCCTTCTTTTAGGGATTCTTAACAGTATCTTTTTCCCAAGAGGTTGTCATATTCTGGCACCTAACCCTAAACTACCATGCCAGTTTACTAATGGATAATGGGAGAAGAGAAGCAGGTGTAGTAAATGGACCCCAGGGTTTGGAGTGGCTAAGTTCTGTTGCGGGTCCCAGAGTCTATCCTTGTTATTCATAGGGAAACTAAGTCTCAGAGGGATTATGTGAGGAATTTCTGTGTCATCTAAGCATGAAGTGGGGGGGGTTTGAATTGCAGACAACTTGTTGGTTGGAAAGAAATGTATTTATTGATAGAAGTGGGGAAAAGGGTAGTACCCTTTTTCCCCCTTTATAATATTGTTTTCAGCTTGTTTGTAAAAGTTGGAAGCAATTTGTAGTGAAACATAAGGAGTTGGTTATACAATTCACAAAGTAAGTATAGTACCTTGACAAAGTAAGGCTGCCATGAAAAATTATGTAGAAGAATATTTAACAACATGGGAAATGTCTGCACAGTATCGTACACAAAAAGATGTTTTAAAAATACTGTATATAAAGAGATTGTCTCTTGATTTTTTTTCACCCAGTTATAAGTTTTTATACTGAATGGACACTACTGTGAATAAATATATTAGCTCATATGACAGTATAAGTTGACTGTAGCGACCAACAATCCTGGTTATCTTTTTGACTTCATATTCTTTGGTCACCCCAGCTCTTTGCTTGGTGAACACATTGTAAAAAGGTCACTTGGTTGTTGAAAGCATTTATTTCTGACCAGTTCCCGTACTTAAATTCTATGAAAACATTGCCCTATCAGAGCAGGCATGAGTGGGTGGACATTGATTAAACAATTTAAAAGAAAACAAAAAAGGAGATTTCAAAAAAATAGTAATAAATAATTTTCACATCAGTTTTGATTGTGTTATTGCATCTGTTACCTTTTCTGACTACAAAATCAGTATCTTCTTATGACTCCCTCCAAATCAAAATATAGAAACACAAGAATAAACATAAAAACCATTAATAATCTTATTCCCGTGCGTACATTAACATTTGGTATATCTGCTGCCATATCCTTTGATGTGTGGGTGAACACCCAAACACATAAATATACATATATATTATTTTAGAAACCAAAATATAGTGCATTTTTATATTTAAAATAAGGTGTGTGTATGTATACATATGTGTATGATACATTCATACACATATGTATACATACATATGATACATATGTATCATACTGTATTTCAGTATTTAAAATAACATACACGGGATATGGCTTTCCGTTTTTGCTGCGTTATTTAACTCAAATGGCATAAGTTCTTCTTAATGTCAGTTTAGAGGTTGTCCTTTGCTTAACCTAATATCTGTTATTGTCTTTCCTAACCTTTTATTTCATTAGTCTCTTATTCTTCTTGTTCTTACTTGTTGCTCAAAATTTAAAGAATTTCTTTCATTTTGGGCTGTATAAGGCCCAGAAACATCCAGAAGTCTTGATGTTTTGGGTGTGATGCACCCTAAAGTTGTACAGAAGGACATTCTTTTAGTATAGATCTTCTTGCTTCTTGCTTGTAGTGGTGGGGCTGATGCTATAGCTTTTTCAAACTGCTTGAGTAGGTACCATGTGCCTCTGATGCCTCAGTAGACTCACCCATGTGGGTAATAAAATACAGCTTGAATCCCCACTAAGATTGAGTAACCATAACCATATCGAATACTCATGTAATCCTTCAGAGTTCACACAGTGATTTTACTCACCTCCTTGTAACAGGATATTTGTCCTTCACAGGATACTTGTCCCCTTCTTACAACTGAAGAGATATTATTTCCTACATCAAATCTCTAGTATACAGCTTGAACTGAGTCTTCTGGTTTCATGTCCTCGTGGTCACCCCATTAAATTATGCCTCTCTTGGGCGCCTGGGTGGCTCAGTTGGTTAAGCGACTGCCTTCGGCTCAGGTCATGATCCTGGAGTCCCGGGATCGAGTCCCGCATCGGGCTCCCTGCTCAGCAGGGAGTCTGCTTCTCCCTCTGACCCTCTTCCCTCTCGTGCTCTCTGTCTCTCATTCTCTCTCTCAAATAAATAAATAAAATCTTTAAAAAATTATGCCTCTCTTTGTACAGGTAAAGGTTGTGATGGGGAACTTGGTCTTGCTTTCCAAGGTTATAGATTTTTTACTTGACTTATTTATGTATTTGAGTTCTCAGTAGTCTTCAATCTCCTGTTGACCGGAACTCCCATCCAGAACAGCCTCCAAGAGCTCTACTCTCTCCTCAGTTTTGTGGAGCCTGATCTCTTTCCCAAGGAGCAGGTGGGAGAATTTGTTCAGCATTACCAGGATGTTGAGAAGGAGTCTGAATCAGGCAAGTTCCCTTCCTTGAAATCATGCCAAGAAGTCTGGGCCCAGAAACTTCCCTGGTGTATAACAGATATGGGTTTCTAGGTAGAAAAGAAAGAGAATTGATAACTGGAGGGCACCTTCTAGGGAGATAAAGAGCCACACAAAGCTGAGGTGATGTTAGATCCCTCAGGTTGTTCCCAGTTCTCTGCTATTCGTGATTCTTATTTGTTATACAATTCTACAATAGGACTTAATGGATCATTTTTGGAAGAAGTAGAGTCTGCTTCCCTATACTGGTCTAGCATGTGGAATTGGCATGAAAATTTCATCCTGCTCTTCTTGTGTTGTTGGTTTTTTTTTTCCTTACACAGCAAGCGAACTACACAGACTCTTGCAGCCATTTCTGTTGAGGCGGGTGAAAGCTGAGGTAGCTACAGAACTTCCCAAGAAGACAGAGGTAGTGATATACCACGGCATGTCAGCATTGCAGAAAAAATACTACAAGGCCATTTTGATGAAAGACCTAGGTAATCAGAGGGCACTTAACTGCTTAGAAACTAAATGAGGATGTGATTTTATTATTATCCCAGGATGATTGTTCAAAATAAATGCTAGGCATGCCTACTAGTGGGTATACGTGTACTAGGTGAGTAAATATCTTATTATCACACTTGCTTTGTATAGTAATATGGGATGGAATTTTGTATTCTGAATAATGTTTAGGTCAGCCACAGTGAAACCATGCGGGGTATCTTTACTATAATGCAGACTTTATTGGTTGTTGCACTTGTGAAATTTCCTATTCTCTCCCCCCGCCCCCCACCTGTTGTCCTTACTGCATAGAAGTTAGGTAAGCAAACACTTCTAGGTATGCCAGTGATGCCTTTCATCTTTCCACCCCATCGGATATTTAACACATTGCAAAGCTTTTTTGTTGGACCAGATTGACTGAGAGGAATTGGGAGTGGGAACAGAGAGAAAGAGGAGTAGAACAGTCTGTCACTTTGTGTTATTTTATCCCTTGGCTCCACAACAGTAGTTAAAGAAGGGAATTTAGAATTGTGCAAAAGTAACAACATACTCCTGAGTTCCTTTTATAGTTAGGCTTCCTTAAAACAAAGTGATAGTTAGGAAAACCTTCATGTGGATATGCTGTTAATTCTTAATGCAATTCAGTGAAATTTAGGAGGTTAATATAGGTTTGAGAGATATATTACTGAATAAATAAGGTTAACTTAAGAGTTTTTGTTTGTTTTTTTTTGTTGTTGTTGTTCAGTAGTCCATCTCTCTCTCTCTGTCTCTCTCTCTTGCTGTTTTCAGATGCATTTGAAAATGAGATGGCAAAGAAAGTTAAACTTCAGAACGTCTTGTCCCAGCTTCGAAAGTGTGTGGATCACCCATATCTGTTTGATGGTGAGACAGTGCCCTTTTTTCTCACATTGCTTTTCATGAACATTTCTGTGGCCAACATCATTGCAAAATTCTTCAAAAGAATTGCCTGTATTCACTGTCTAGTTTGTTCCTCCATTTTCTCTTGTTATTTTTCCTGTTGATATAATCTAACATATTGTTCATATTCAAGTTTTTTCAGTTGTCCCCTTAATGTCCCTTATGGCTTTAACTTTCTTTAAAATTCAAAATCGAGTCATAGATCTGAATTATATTTGTCTGTCTCTTTGTTCTCCTATAATCCAGAAACAATCCTCAGCTTTTTTGTTTGTTGTTTTTTTTTTTTAAATATTTTATTTTATTTATTTGAGAGAGAAAATGAGATAGAGAGAGTATGAGAGGGGGGAGGGTCAGAGGGAGAAGCAGACTCCCCGCTGAGCAGGGAGCCCGATGCGGGACTCGAGGCCGGGACTCCAGGATCATGACCTGAGCCGAAGGCAGTCGCTTAACCAACTGAGCCACTCAGGCGCCCCTGTTGTTTGTTTGTTTGTTTTTTCTTTTTTTGGTCTTGCCTGAAATTACAGTTTTGAAGAATCTCAGGGCTGGTTGTTTTATGGGTTGTCTCATAATGTGGATTTAGGGATCATTTCTTTGTGATTAGATGTCCCATTGTCTTTTTTTTTTTTTTTTTTTTTTAAGTGGGCTCCACGCTGGGCTGGGTATGGAGCCCAGATGCAGGGCTTGAACTCACGACTCTGAGATCAAGACCTGAGCTGAGATCAAGAGTCAGATGCTCAACCTTGACTGAGCCATCCTAGATGTCCCATTGTCTTAAGCCCATTCCGCTGTTGGCCTTTCATTACCACCCTTTAACTTTGCAAGTTTACCAATGATCTCCAGTGGTTGTCAGTTCACATTTTAATTAACCTCTCAAAACCTTTTACACAGTTGATCACTTCTTTCTTGAAACACTTTCTTCCTTTGGCTTCTGGAACAGCGCTTTCTCTTGCATCTCCCATTTCCCTACCTCTGCTCTTTCTCAGCTTCCTTTGCCGCTTCCCCTCCATCTTAGGGATGTCTGCAAATTTCCCTCTAAGTGCTGCTTTAGCTAAATACCGCAAATTTCAATATGTAGTATTTTCATTTTAATTCAAACAAGGGCTTTTTTGATTCACTCTGATAGGTAGCCTTTGGGACACTTCTAGGACTTATGTGGCCATGGGGGCACTGGAATGGGTAGGATCAGTGTGGAGGGTTTGCTGGAGTCATTTTAAGGGAGTATTTGCAAGTAGCACTATGAATTGTTTTAAATGTCACAGAATATTAATCAGATACATTTCAGAATCTTTTGTTAAGGCAGGGGGCATTAGGAACATGGAGATTTTGAAAGAAGCCCTCTAGGTTATTCTGACTGCCATTCCCCGCCTTGAGAATTACTCGTTTATACATCTAAGCGTTATTTCTTGATTTGTTTTCCTGAGCGAGAGTCTCAAATTTTCAATTCTCTGGCCTTTAGCATGTCCTTGTGCCTCTCTTTCCTAAAGAGTGGGCTTGTTCCTTGGATGGACATTTATTAAGCTTGTTGGGGGTGTTAGGTTCTGTGATTGATGTTAAGCAGCACCAAGATTATCATACAAACAATTATAAAATGTCTTAAAGAGAGATGAGACTTGGGCCCATTTTCAGTTAGAAGGAGCTTGGCCTCTTGCTATAGCCTCACTATCAGCTTCTCTACTTAAGAAGTCGGCCATGACCAGGGGACACTTCATTGGGAATAGGTTCCTTTTTTTTCAGGTGTGGAACCAGAGCCTTTTGAAATTGGAGACCACCTGATTGAGGCCAGTGGGAAACTTCATCTACTGGATAAGCTGCTTGCATTCCTGTATTCCAGGTAGGTGGTCAGTTCACATTTTCTGCTCTGAGTTGGTAATTTTTAAAACCAGATGATTCACTGATTTCTTTCTTTCTTTCCTTTTTTAAGATTTTATTTATTTATTTGAGAGAGAGAGAGAGCGAGAGAGAGCACGAGCAGAGTGGGGGTGGGGGTTGGGGAGAGGGAGAAGCAGGTTCCTCCCTGAGCAGGGAGCCCAATGCGGGGCTCGATCCCAGGACTCCAGGATCATGACCTGAGCCAAAGGCAGATGCTTAACCGACTGAGTCACACAGGCTCCCCAGTTCACTGATTTCTTGAGACTAATTCCAATTTTTCTTTTGTTCAAGACCCTGATTCTGGTTCCACTTTCTCTGCAACTACACCTACACCGCATCACATCCCGCCCCATCCCCTCCATAATCATCCTTCCTTTTCCCGAATTCCTACAGCACCTAGGATCCTAATCCAGCACTTGGCAATGCACTGCCTTAATCTACTCTCTGTTTAATTGATGTGCAGTAATCTTACTACTCCAGCTGTATTTAGTTTCACAGACAGAGATCTCATCAAACATTTCTTTTTAATTGCCTGCTGGTACCTTGAGAATTGGCACCTAATGAGGGCTTAGTAAATATGCACCTTTGTTAACCCCTGTAGGGTTTGGTTCAGAGAGAACTTGCAGGACTCTTTCCCGGAGACATGGGCTGCGTAGCTGAAGACCAAGTCACTCTTGGAGCCTTAAAAGTTTCAGCTAAGTGTTCAGTGGCCTGGTATCCAGCCTCTACCTGATCCTCCTGGACCCCAGAGGGACAGAGAAGTCTAGAAAAAGCCCAGCTTCCTAAGAGTTTCAGAGTTGTCCCTTTGGGACAGCTGTCCCAAGTGAGCCTGAACTAACCATAAAACCTCAGGTTTGGCAAAACCACCCAACATTAGGAATGTGCAAACCAAATAATTGCATGTCTTCATGTATTTTATTGCCCCTGATATATCTAGTATAAGTGTGTTAGAGATGGAGGAGGACCCCTAAACATTTTCTGTCCAACATTTTCATTTCACAGGTGATGAAACAGGCCCAGAGTGGTCATGTGACCTTCTAAAGTCACACAGCCAGCAAATGACAGAGATGGGATTAGAATTGAGGTCCTCAAGGTCAATGCCTTTTCCACATGTTTGGGGCTAGTCTTGAAGGAGTTCTTCATAATTGTTTCTTTACACACATCGCAAGCTCAGGTTAAATTAGTTTTCCTTTTCTTTTTTTAAAGATTATTTTTTTTATTTTTTTTATTTGAGAGAGTGAGAGAGAGCATGAGAGGAGAGAGGGTCAGAGGGAGAAGCAGACTCCCCACTGAGCAGGGAGCCCGATGTGGGACTCTGTCCTGGGACTCCGGGATCATGACCTGAGCCGAAGGCAGTTGCTCAACCAACTGAGCCACCCAGGCGCCCTAAATTAGTTTTCCTAATGAGACTCTTGTTTTGACAGTGTCATATTTCTTTGTGAAAACTTAAAATAATACCTGATAACATGGGACTGTAGGCTCATCTTCATTCTTGACTTAATTCATTTTGCCTCCTCCTTTCCCTTCCTCTTGCTATACATAAGTTTTTTAATGTGTCCTATGGGATATGAGATGCCACCTGCCCCTTCTCTAAAGTGATACTTGTCAGACTTTTCCACCAATACAGCTGTAGATGAGAGGATAGTGGTTTGACACCCACAAGCAGAGGATGGCTACAGGTGACTGATCACAAGTTCTTCAGGATTTCCAGTTGGGTTTTGTGCGTTTGACTTTTACATTTTATTCTTCACATACCTTTATTTATTTAGCCGTTCGAATGAAAGTGTATATTTCTTTCCATTAAATTGGAACGTAAATTGACATTCCAGAAAGACGTGCTTTGGTTATCCTGGGGCTTTCTGTACCCCCTGGTGCATTTGCTCCTGGGAGTATCTGTAGTTTGAGAACCTCGGCTCTGCAGAATATGGCTACATTTGGGGTTATTCATGTGGAACATTCAGCATTTCTGAGGAAGTCTCTGTAAATGATTATGGTATTTAGATTTCTGCTTCAGTATTTCATTTATTTATAAACTTGTATTCTTTGGTAAGTTTCCCTCAGGGAAACTTAAGAGTTGGTAGCCTTTCCTTTTCTCTTTCTTGCCAGGGGCCATCGAGTTTTACTTTTCTCCCAGATGACCCAGATGTTGGATATTCTCCAAGACTACATGGACTATAGAGGTGACGTTCCTTGGCCACTACGTTGCCTGAGCCTTTTTTAGACTTAAGAGTCTAGTAGGCCCATGAAGAGTAATCTGGGGGGTGGGGATGTTACAGAGGAAAGCAGTGAAAACATTATTCTGAACCAAAGGAAGATTGAAAGTAAGGAGAGAGGTGTGTTACACAAGGATTGACAGCCGGGTGGAGACACTTGGGCAGAAATAAACACACATATTCCCACTGGCGATGTGATTTAAAATTGTGGATACTGGAAAAAAAATCCGAGTTGCAGAAATGCTGAGTGTTTTTGAAAATGTTTGCTAAAAAAAGAGCTTCCGGTGTCTTGCAACATTCAGTTCTACTGTTGAGCACTTACTCAGGATCAGTAGAAAAGATGAAATTATAGAGATCCCATGTATCAACCAAGGGAAAGGAATGTTTTTTCTTTATAAACAATAGGGAATGTAAGTTATTACCTGGGGATTCTGTTTAATATATAATAAAATGTATGTGGGATGATGGGAAAAGGCTGTAACACTGACTGATCTTGAAATCAGTGGTGAGGGAGCATCAGCTTCAGACCTTAAAATATGAATTCAGAGTAGGTCTCTCAGAGCCACTCGATGCCCCCTAAGTACTACAGTACAGTACCTGGTCCATTGGACACTCGTAGGAAATGCCATTGGCATGTTGGGGGATCCCCAGATTCACAAACAGGCCTTGAGCATATAATTCCCTTTCCTGACAGGGGTCTGTGGTGATGGGTGAACCTGAAGCTTCATTGAAAGGCAGCTCCTGGGCCATTGGGCAGGCTCACTCACCAGCTCCTCGGTGCTTGTCTTACTGCTTGCATTAGTAAGAATTCTGTCGTGGCAGAATTGGAAACTACCACACAGCATGGTTCACAGTGTGCTTTGGGGCTGGAATAGTCAGAATTGACTGTTAACTCCTCAAACGCCAAATACGTCAACTGCACGTATTTAAAAATCCCAGAGAGGTATATTATGTTGAGTGCTTGTTTAAAACAATGAAATGTCACCTAAATTTAGATTTTTCCCACGGGATTTGCTTCAAGTAGAGGCATACCTGTATACAAAAAGGGACAAAATTAGCATTTGGTTTTGAGCCGACAGAGTTTTATTCCCCCAAAGAGTATGTGAAAACGGTTTCTCTGTGTTTTCTTTGTCCGTGTGAAGGGTACAGCTACGAGCGTGTGGATGGGTCTGTGAGAGGAGAGGAGAGACACCTGGCCGTTAAGAACTTTGGACAGCAGCCCGTTTTTATTTTTCTTCTGAGTACCAGGGCAGGTAGGCCACCCAGGCATTGGCCAAAGCAGACAAATAAGGGGGGGATACAGTACTTTTACATCCCGACCAGTAGTATGCTTTCCCCTAATTCTCTGAAAGGTGAGGTCATTACCAAGGAACATAAAAAAGGGCAATTGTGAGGGAGTTGCCGTAAGTTAATCAAAGTATTGGACTCCTAGCATGGGGTTGTTCCCTGTCCACGTTATCTAAGCTGCCAGCTCAGAGAAGGAAGGCTGAAAGCAGGGGTTGTTGGAAGGGAATTTGATTCTGCTTTGACCACTGACCTGGGGTTGTCCTGGAAGATGTCTGTAATCTCATGGAAAGTTTTACTCACATTCAGTAGAGAACACTCTCCTTCCCAGCCGTGAATTTGGGAAGTAAGATAACAACCTGTCTGCTACTTATCCCTCTTCCTCAAGTAGCTCTGGAATAGTGCTGTAAACGCTTAATAAAAATCTCTTTTTTAAAAAAGTTGCGATTATAATGAAATTGCCAGCTCTTTAGAATTATTTTTAACATTATCTTGATGAGTTAAGTCATAAATATTTTCTGTGATATTTATAATGCTTTACCAGTTAAAGACTGCTTTTATAGACGCTTTAGTCATTTGAAATCAGTTCTCAGAGATGAAATTATTCTTATGTCATGGAGCAAGCTGACCTTAAATTAGTTTTGGACTTCTAGAATCTTAGTTTCATTATCTTACTTTTTGTAGACCTAATCTTTTCTTTTTTTTAAAGATTTTTATTTATTTATTTGAGACAGAGTGTGAGCAAGAGAGAGCACAAACAGGGGGAGGGGCAGAGGGAGAAGGAGAAGCAGACTCCCTGCTGAGCAGGGAGCCCGATACAGGGCTCCATCCCAGGACCCTGAGATCATGACCTGAGCCAAGGGCAGACACTTAACCGATTGAGCCACCCAGGTGCCCTGTAAACCTAATTTTGATGCAGTAGATGCAGGAACACTAAAGGGATTTGTATCCTCTATTAAGGAGAGATCAATATTTGTGTAAAGAGAAAGTTCCATCTTAGAAAGCATTTAAGTGTCCCATACTATAAGGGTACATAAAAGATGTGTTAGGTAGAATCCTTGACCATAAGGAGATTGTTTCACCTGTGTATGTCTCATCTCCATATTACAAAGGTATAATCCGATTCATTTGGCTTCACTTGCTTCCATTATCATAGACTGCACCCTGAATCAGCCATTTATTCACGTTCTCTCTTGTCTCAGGGATGGTTTTAGGAGACACTGGAAGGATCAGGGCAAATGCATCTTCAGTGTTGGAAAACAGCTCTATTTATGCGTTACTGATTTCATCATCTTCATATTCAGAGAGTAGCGTTATGTTTGAAAGGTCTAAAATCAGGAAGAAAGAGTTAGCCCCTTGGAGTACTCAGAAGCAGAATCAGCACAGGGTAATCTTTTGAGAACTGAAGCAGTCCTGGACATGAGCCTTTCCCAAACACTAACAGTCATGTTTGCCTTACTTTTTAGCTGTAGATTAGTAGTACTATTGTTTCATTTAACAGGTTTCCCTCCAACTTTCAAGTATTTCTGTGATTGAAGCATATTGCCACCAGGTGGCAGTGATAGCTCACGATATTTCCCAAACAAGACTGGAGAATAACTTATTTGTAAAACATCACCCCTTAATGAAGAAGAGCTGAACTGAGACATTAACCCAAGAAGAAGATGATAATTTTTATGGAGCACACTTTAATGAAATAAGTACCTGGGAGATAATTATGGCGTAGTGGGTAAAAGCAGAGTCTCTGGAGCCAGACATTGTGGGACTGACTCCTGGCTCTTTCACTTTCTAGCTGTGTGATCTCTAATAAGTCCTTTGGCTTCTCTGTTCTTCTATCTATAAAATGCGAATAGTAATAACAAACTACTCATACGGTTGTTGTGAGAATTCAAGGGGTCGATATATGTGAAATGTGTAGAACAGTGCCTGGCACGGAGTAAGCACAGCACAAGCATTATTGTCAGGTATAATTTAGCACCTCTCAGTGATCAGTCTTTATTGTCTCTTTATTCCAACTTTAATTTTATATGAAGTCTTTAATTAGAATATTCCTGCCTGACTTGTCTTGAGAGCCAGCTTAGAGTCAGTAGCCCATCTCAAAAGTTAGTCCTTAATTCAGGCCCTTGGAACAAGCCCTTTCAGGCTTGCTTGTCTCAGCAATGAGCTGTAACGACCCTGGCAAGAGGAAGTCCCTTTTGTACTTGTTTCCACATTAATCAAAGACAAGGCTGTAATTTGCTTTCATGGTTCTCTTAATTAATTCTCATCATCCAAAGAGCCTCCTCAGCCCTTCTGCTACGCTGAAGAAGGATCAGAAAGTTGTCCCATGGAGTGTTCTTGTCCTATGGTTGGTTTCGTTAGCTTCTCTTTGATTCATGTGGAAACAAATACAGAAAAGGCTTTCTAAGTTTTCTCCTGTCAGAGGGAGGTAGTTTCCTGCTCTGCTTAGGAGTGTAATAAATAAATGTCATCCTCTGTTCACATTAGCCTCTATCAGGGACCTTGCTGCCTTAGTTGTAACCTGCGGTGGATGTTAACTCCTCTCTTAACAGCGCCCACAGCAGAAGGCCTCTTGCATATTTAAGACTGTTTTCTTTTGAAAGAGCATGCGTCCTCTTAGAGCATTCTAAACAAACCAATCAAACCATTTAAAATGGCTTCCTGGCACTAACTTCAGCTTGCACTTTAACTCCTTGCCCTTGCTCCTCTCATTCTGTTACTTTTGGTCGTTAAATTTTCCCAAGTCAGGCAATGTGAGCCCGGGTAGCACTGTTAACCACTCCAAGGTCCTGGGGTTGGGGATGGAGTGTCAGTTTGAAGGGTGAGGCCAACTGTTTTGACTGATCTTAATTTACCAGTCACACTGCTGTAGCCTTGTGTCTTTCTCGTCTAGCCCTAGCCGGAGTGCTGCTGATCACGTTCCTTTTGCATTGTTTTCAGGAGGAGTTGGCATGAACTTAACGGCTGCAGATACCGTTATTTTTGTCGACAGTGATTTCAATCCGCAGAATGACTTGCAGGCAGCTGCCAGGGCTCATCGGCTTGGCCAGAACAAGTGAGAGAGTTCAGCACCAGCGTTCTTCCACATCTGGGGCTCTTCAGCAGTTCTGGGTGGGGAAGGAAGGTGAAGAAGCTGGTCCTGTGGCGTCCCAGACTGGAGGGCCAGAGAGCTCTGGGTTTTAGCCCAGCTTTGCTGCTGACTCCTCGAAGGCTGCTGGCCAGCACACATTCTCATTCCAGACTTGCTTCGTTAAAAAGCTAAGGAGATGGGCCTTACCCTTTGACCAGAGGATAATTGAGATCTACCAGAGGTTTTCCTCCTGTTCCCATCAGAAACCCTAATTTATGGCCCCTCCTCATCCCTTCCTTGACTCTCTTGGAAAGCTTCTGTGGGGCCAGATCTCTCTAACAAATGCTCAGGTCTGCATAGCTGGGCAAGAAGTCCGACAGAGCCCTCTCAAACAGCTGGTGTTGGGAACAGTTTACGTTCCCATCAGTATTTGGCTCACAAATACTAGACCATCTAGAGATAACTGACCCAGTCTAAAAGGGTAAGATATGAACTAGAAGCCATGATGTGAGTCTGCCTCCAGTCTCCCTTTAGTTGTACCCTGAACGTAGCATTTTGGGTTTGTTTCCTTTTAGGTATATCAACCTTGCATGCTTGTGTTCATCTCTGCAGCACACTCCTCTCCTTTGACTCTGTACAGGTCTGTTAAAGTTATTCGGCTGATTGGCCGAGACACTGTGGAGGAAATAGTCTGTAGGAAAGCAGCCTCCAAACTGCAGCTTACCAACACAATCATAGAGGGGGGCCATTTTACTCTGGGGGCCCAGAAACCAGCGGATGCTGACCTCCAGGTATCATATGTTGTTCTTCCCTTAAGAATGTGTCATATTTCTCAGAGTCCATAGGGTTCTAGAGGGGAGGGGGTGCGGGTGCTATATCTATATCTCTTAGATTTAATAAACCACAGCCCCTGGGTTAAATAGCCTGGTGATGGCTATTAAAGAGGGCACGTATTGAACGGAGCACTGGGTGTTATACGCGAACAGTGAATCACGAACTACATCAAAAACTAATAATGTACTGTATGGTGATTAACATAACATGATAAAATATAATTAAAAAAAAAATTCCTGAATGGCTTCATACTGGCCAGGCTGGCATCAAAATTAAATTTGTGAGGTGATGCTATTTGAGGAGATTGTAAAACTAAGGCCATCTGCAAAGGAAAGGTGGTGGTGTCTACTTAATGATGGCTTTATCATAGCAAATATTATAAAGCTATCTCTTTAATAAAAACAATTAGCCAATTATATATTCCAAAATGATTAAGAAGAAAAGATATTAGCATGCTTAATTAACATTGACTATATAAAACAAAAATAATTTACATCTGTTAAAGTTTTCCAAATATTTGAATCAAAAGAAACACTGAATTTTCTACGAACTGTTAGTAATTAGTTGACCACACTTACTGTGCCTTTACTTAGCTGAATTTTTGTAAATAAAACTAAAAACCAAAAAAAGAAAAGTGTCATATTGTCAGTACTTTTTTTTTTTTAGATTTTTATTTATTTATTTGACAGAGAGAGACACAGTGAGAGAGGGAACACAAGCAGGGGGAGTGGGAGAGGGAGAAGCAGGCTTCCCGCAGAGCAGGGAGTCTGATGCAGGGCTCAAATCCTAGGACCCCAGGATCATGACCTGAGCCGAAGGCAGACACTGTCAGTACTTTCTTGTGGGTGAGAAAGGTAACACAAAGAACTGGTATTAATACCCACTCTCCCCAACTACACATTTGTTCCCTGGCCAGACATACCTGCTATGGTATCTACTGCATGCAAGCGAGGAGCTAGAAATGAAAATGATATATAAAGGTAGCAGAATATGGAATAACAAGGATGGGCTTTAGATCCCCCCTCACTTGGATTCAGACCTAAGCCTTGTCCCTTAGTGGCTTATGTAGCTTTGAGCAGGTATCTTCACCTCTCAGATGTGCCCTGTTTGCATTTCAGAAAATGAGAATACTGCAAGTTACCTCTGAGGACTGTTAAAAAAATTAGATAAAGAACTCCACTTAATAAATGATGATTAATCCCATACCTCATCTTAACCCCAGACCCTTTGATCAGTGAGTGACCTTCATAGTCAGAGGAGGGTAAATGAGATCAGGAATTCAAAATTATACTTGCAGAGAAATGGATGAAAGAATAAATTGCTTGAAGATGGGAATATTGGAGAGGAAACAGACGCTGACTTGAAGATTTTCTCTTCTGGAAGATGGCTTTGAGTTACTCTGTAGTAGCCCCTGGGTTAAAATTAGAACCCATATTATAATATATCCTAGGTTCTTCCATTTTGGCCCAGGGATCATGTTCACTGAAACAGTCAGAAGCACTTCAGATGATACTTAGCACACAGTAAGCGTTCAATAAATGTTGACTACATCTGCCTCTTTGTAGGGTAATGACCTGCTTCCCTCTTCCAGGACTTGAGAATGCTATATCTCTTAGATTTAATAAACCACAGCCCCGTGTTTTATTACTAGATTATTTTAAAACAATGAACAAACTGCTTTCATCTGAGACAAGGTCATTGGGTTGTCACCTTTGTTTTTGGCAACCAAAGAGATAACTAGTGTAGTCTGGAGGGGGAGGGAGAAAGCAGACTTTTTTTTTTTTTTTTTTATTAGATTTTATTTATTTGTTTGATAGACAGTGAGAGAGGGAACACAAGCAGGGGGAGTGGGAGAGGGAGAAGCAGGCCTCCTGCTGAGCAGGGAGCCCGATGCAGGGCTTGATCCCAGGACCCTGGGATTATGACCTGAGCCGAAGGCAGATGCTTAATGACTGAGCCACCCAGGCGCCCCAAAAGCTGACTTTAGAGCCAGAACATAACCTTCTGGTGTCCTTGAGCTGGGCAAGAAGTCCGACAGAGCCCTCTCAAACAGCTGGTGTTGGGAACAGTTTACGTTCCCATCAGTATTTGGCTCACAAATACTAGACCAT